TGACATCATTAATCTGAGTATGAAATACTTACTTCAGATTCAGTTTCACTTGTATGTAAATGGAAAGCAACTATTGACATCGTACAATCGAGATCATCTATCGAGTTAAAAAAGTGATACAATGGCTGCGTTCGGAAACATCGCTTGGATGCCTTCGTGCCTCGAATTCAGCATTTGTCTTTATTTACATTAATGTTAAACAAGGACAGATGATAAATCCGAGGCATCGCGGAGGCATCCGAGCGATGTTTCCAAACGCGGCCAATGTTGCAATTATAAAGCAAATATAAAAAATTGTATATTATTATAAAATTAATCTCGCATATAAAATTTGAACCATTTAATAAATATAAATGGATTATTTTAACACTAACTGCAGAAAGTATGTATGGTATATGTATACGTCTTGAAAAAGTAACTTCTCATTTGTATATTGTATAATTTTCGATCGTCTATAAAAAAGTTTGTATGTATACAATCATATTTTACATAAGTTTTTGGTTAAAACACGTTGCACGATAAAGGAATAGAAAAATCAAATTTAAAAAACTCGCTTAAACTTTAATTATTTTAAAATGATACATATATTGATATATAAAGATATATATGATAATTAAAACAAATTTTTTTGAATTATGTATATTAGAATCACATGTTTTTAATTATTACAAATTATACAATATATACAGGGTGTCTCAAAAAAACGGATCGAAACACAATGGGGACGTAGATTGGATCAAGGGGAACAAAACAGTTTTGTACCATTTTTGCATATTTCTTAAATGGAACACCCTATTTTTGATTCAAGAATCTAATAACTGATGTCGAGAGCTTTCCAAAACACTATAATGAAATATTTTTTCATGAAGTACTTTTCAAGTTATAATGCTTCAAAGTTACAGTATCGCCGGCATTAGCATTACCCAAAATATTTAATTTTGGGGACTGGCCAGTCAAGACCGATCTTACCTTCATTGGCTGCATTATTCTCCAATCTTTCTCCGAGCACAAAAGACATGTCAATCCGCCTGGGCAACCTCCGCGTGGTATTACATATCTTGGGTAATGCTAGTGCCGGCGATACTGTAACTTTGAAGCATTATAACTTGAAAAGTACTTCATGAAAAAATATTTCATTATAGCGTTTTGGAAAGCTCTCGACATCAGCTATTAGATTCTTGAATCAAAAATAGGGTGTTCCATTTAAGAAAATCAATGTAACCTTGACCTGACCTTGGCTACGCAACCCAAGGTCAAACTGATAGGATCAGTAAATAGATATTTTTAAACCATATAACTTTTGTCTGAAACACTTTTCTGTAAAACTTATATTTTCCGAGATATTTAGGTGTCCCGACCTTTTTGGGACACCCTGTATACTATATTAATATATAATATTATATTAATAATTTTTTAAATATTAATATTTATTATATTATATATATATATTATATACATGCATATATTAATATATAATATAATATATATTATAAGTATACTTTGTTAAGTCAATATTTTAACACATAAGTAATGTGTTAAAATATTGATATATATATATATATATACTTTACAACAGAGAATCCAAATATTTTATTTTTTTATAATTTTGGCTTCTATAATTGACTTTAGTTTCTTTATTTTGAGCTTCTATCTCTGTATAATTATGGTAATGCTTATTGTGAGATATAACGGTTATCAATTAATTTACTTAAGTACTATATGATATTTTAATGTTTCTCATATCCTAATACAATTTGACTTTGACAATACTTAATATTTAGAATAATAATGCTAATTTCCAATTGTGCAAGATGAGAATTTCAGTGAATTAAATTAACAGCATCAATATACCCCATGATAACGTATACAGATATTAAAACTGAATCGATCGTATGAGAATACTTTTACGGAAGAATATTGTTGCATTTTTTCATTTAAGCACTTTTTATAATTAAATCGCTTTAATGATATCGGAGCTCGGTGATCGCGCTCGTTTCATCAAGATCACATCAAAATTTCTCTCGCATGTCTCATTTTTTTCTTTCTATCCGAAAACAATCGATATATCGAAAATAATTTGAATGAGTCATTCATCGTGCGAATGTGACGAATGTTAATTATTTTAATTATTTAACGCATCGGGATACCTATTATGTACATTTCAAAAAGATTTCATTTTATCTGACATCTTTTTTGTAGGTATACAATTATTTTTATTATTTTTCCATGAATAACTCGAAAAGTTGCAACATTCTGATGTATTATATTGAGTTTATCTTATCTAACTTATCTTGATATCGCAAAATTTAATTTACGCTGTGTTCTCGAAGTGAAAAGCACTTTTTGGATTTCTAGAAAAAACTGTGATCCTATTTGTTTGTTTTGATCCTTTATTTCGACTTGGTACATTCGTAATGAGAGAACAATTGTAAATATAAGGTCAGCTATTGGATGGTTTTATTGGCTCTGACTTGCGAACTGTATCACAGTTGTGAAAACATGTTTGTACATACCATGTCTCCTGACGGTTTCCTTCATTCGCGCACGTTCGCTTTCGTTAACTAAATAAAGAAAAAAAAAAGTCATGATCCCCTGATTGCGCAGTCATCGGATTCGTCTTCTTTTTAGCATTAAGAATTAGTACGTAGCCAGAACCAGTTGCACCAATCAGCTGTCATTCGCCCGGAATATTTCTTCTCGATCAGCTAAGCTTTTTCTATTTTTGAATATAACCAATATACAATTCATTCAGTTCAACATAATTATATATTGATATAATAACATATGAAAATGTTGGAATAATTTAATTATTTTAGATTGTAGTTTTACTATATATATATATATATATATATACACACGTGGGGATTCAAGTCAAACCGGAACTTTTATTCTCATGAACATAAGAATAAAAAAGTTCCGGTTAGACTTGAACCACCCACGTATATATATTATTTTCGAAACAAAAAATTTAGTTAATTGATTTAATTAACTTTTAGAGTCGATTTTAAAATTAACGTGAGTTGTCAATGGAAAGTGATCTGTTTAATCTACAATTAAATTAATCTTTTTTTGTATTACTATATTTAGAATAATTGTAGATATTATAATTAAAATTTATTTTTTTCTTTTTTTGATTTTCTTATTGGTGCAACGGACTCTGATTCTGTAAGTCAGCATATTTCCAACAAAGTTGGGAACATAACAGGTAATGAAACTATAATAGATATATATTATGTTTACAGTAATCATATTCAGTTTTACTTTGTTAAACTGTAATAATAAAACGATAATTCGTTAAATGATAGATTATCTGACATTCTGCAAAATATTTGGAACTATATATGAAATAATATACAAAAATGTGTAAGTTAGAAAGTCCACCGCGATATTTATTGCGCCTCTTCTCCGTCCCATCCTTTTCCAAACAACAAATATCCAAACAGATAGTTCAAAGAGAGAAAAAAGGTAAGAATTTAATATATAATTATTTAATAATAATATACATACAATATATAATACATACAGATATAATAATCATGATAGTGTTTCATTTATGGCGAGAAGATAATAATAATTATAACAATTTGTATAAAAACTTAGATATTTTATTTCGTACAACACATTACATATAACTCACATTTACGTCATTTACGATGAATATATATGTATTCTTTAATGATCTTTATTGACACATAAATATTCGTATATTACGCAATATTTTTATAATATTTACGAAAAAAATGCATTATTTTTATTACCAGTATAAAAAATATATATGATAAATCAAAATAGTCATGATTATCAATGATCTGACGAAACGCGATATTTTTGCGATATACTTTTAAGAGATATTAGTGTTTTTTAATCAAATATCTTACAAATTTTTTAAATAAGCTTTCGTGCATAAATGTATCGACATGTTTTTAGAGAATATATCTACGATGATTGTGGGCAAAATTTGAAACAAAATCATTATAAGTTAACTCTAATACAGAATAATGACGAAACACACATGGAGTTAATCTAATTGATTTCGAAATAATCGAAAAGTCACGCAAATGTGCAAATAACTAAGCAAATGAAAAGACAACGATTTAAAAAAAAATAGCTAATTTAATTGTGATGGAATTTTTAATCTTTATTACATCATAATTAATCGTAATTAATAACTAAATAAATTATTAATGGTTGATTTAAGATTAGAAAATTTTTTTCGTATATATAAAATGAGAATAATAATAAATATTAAAAAATAAATTATAGAAGCATTTGGAAATTTTGAGTCTTCATACAAATTAATAGAAACACATTCGTTGAAATATAATTATGGAACATTGTCAATTGTCGAAACTTTTATACGTGGGTTTAAGCAAATTGCATGATTTTTCAAGTATGACTGATTGTGCAAGAAAATTTAGCCGAAAGTTAGGTTGATCGGTTATCAGTGATGTTATCAAAATACAATCTTGTGCAATAAATGACTGTGTCACTCAATGTGGATATCAACATGAGATATCGGCAAGTGAAATATTTCGTGACGAACTCTTTGGCTTTCTTTACATTCTTATCTTTCGCGATTATAGGACGATCTACATCAGAATGTCGTATAATTAAATTTTTAAAGTTCAGTTTGTGCAATGAAAAATATTGTGATAAATTGGCATAAAATTATAGACAAAGATAGAGATTCTCTTATCGCTTCAATATTTTATAAAGTCCGGAATTTTCTTGGGAAATCCATTTTTCGATTTGATTCATTTAGCGGCGTTTAATGCTTTTTGTGATCATATTAATTTGATTAATTTCTCAAATTATTTAACATTAAAAAAGCTTTTTGAGTTATTTTAATATCATAAGTTTTTTAAGTTACGTTAATACTTCTATTGCACTGAACTTTTAAAAAATTTTAATTGTATTTAGTTGTATATAAAATTATATACAATTAATACATAAAAATTATACATTTTATTTCGAAACGCTGATTGAAATATGAATATTTATGTCTTTAAATGGTTCTATATACATATCTTCAATGATAAATAAAAATCGATCACGTTTTTCTAAAACCACTCCGTCAGTATAAAACTGTGCAATTTCATTAACTTCAGTTTTGAAATATACGCGCGGTTTTTATATATATAAAAGAGTCGTCTGACAGTTCTTATCACATAGATAGGCGATTGGCGAGTTGGCAGAAGAAGATGGTTACAGTCGGTTAAAGCATCAAGCGGGACTGACGTTTTTCCTGTTGGTAAGAGTCTGGAGCTGTAAAATAAGGATGTTTTTATGTTCGTTCTCTTTTTATTCTTATTTTCTTAAAATGGAAATTCTATATTATGGGCGAATCGCTAGATCGCTCTTGTATGTCTGGACATCTTCGTATCTTAAAGTCCGCCACGTCCGCTGTCAATGTACTCGAACCTCTGTGGAACAGAGACGATCGTGGGCTTAGAGTGGAAGTCTTATCCCGAGAAATAATACATTCAGATGCACAGTGCAAAACAGTTGCTAGACTTGCTTTTGTACAGAATTAAAGAGAGTGCGGAGTAGTAAAAAATTTTTCAAAAAAGCAAATTTGTTTCTTGTGTTCCATCATTTCTTAAAAGATTTTTAGACGATTATTTTTCTCTTTTTGACTTTATTTTAATTTATGAAGCTCATAGGAAAATTAGTGTATGAAAAGTTATCTTAAAAACGAATTTTTTCTCTAAACTCACTACTTTTTGGAATATAAGAATGATTTTGTATCTTTATTATTATGCATTATGAGCATGCATGAATTCTATTCTGAAATATTCTACCTCATAAGAATTGGATAACTATTTGTGTTTCTAAAACAAAGTCCTATCATCAAGAAAAAAATATCGAAATTCTATAAATAATATTATTTATATAAGAGAAAAGTTAAATGCGTGTATTTCAGTGCAGCGACTTTCATGCGGATTAAATGCTTGTTAATTCATAGGAAGATGCCAGACTTACATTATATTTAAAAATTATATTTGTCAACTATCTTCAGACACTGACAATTTGAAACAAAAAGTCGAAAGCTCGAAACATAATTTAAATATTTAATTTTTATTTATTGAGAAATTAAAAATATTTGACTAAATAATTGATTTAAGAACTTATTACAAATTTTAAAAAATTACTAAAAATGATCAAATGATTTTTTTCATTTATTTATTTAGAAGATTGGAAAATTTATTACAGAAATTGAGGAATGTTTTGAATATTAAAAAATTAATTAAAACTTAATAAATTTATAAGAAATTGAGAATAAATTATAAGATCTTAGCACAACTAAATATTTTTCATTCGTGTCTGAAAATGGTCTCACATTCTTGAGGTATAATATACCTCCTTTTCTTCTGTGGAGACGGAGGCATAAGTCCTAGCGGGCGCTTCTGGTTGCTTGGCGGGTCCGATAGCATGCACGTAGAGGAGTGCCCCGGCCATACCGCCCATAATCGGACCCACCCAATACACCCAGTGATCTTTGAAAGCGCCCATCACCACGGCGCTGCCCAGAGAACGTGCCGGATTCATCCCCGCACCCGTTCGCGGTACCTAATTATAAAAAATTGTTACAAACGTAGAAAATGGTTACGAAAACAGAATTAATTCTTAAATTTTTTCCATTTTTTAAGACTTTTAAGCAATTGTATATAGGAATAAAGTATTAATTCCGAAACCAATTCTAACTTGTACGATATTTTAGAGTATACGCGATTTTAAAATAAATGTTACAGCAAAATGATTGAATTAAATTACAATTTAATTCAATTTGGACATGTCGGATTGTTTAATTAAATTAAATATATTCTTTAATATATATATAATAAAAGTGAAAAATAGATTTAAAATAAGTAGGAACTATTTTTGTAATCAGAATCGAAGTACTTACTCCGACGAGATGACCGACGGTGACCGCCACACCGATTATAAGGGGCGTGATAGCCTTGTTGTCCGGTTTAGCGGCATCGCATACCCCGCAAACTACCAGCACCAAGATCAATGCAAGGAAGAACTCCACGCCGAATCCTTGCACTGGAGTGATCCCTTCAGAAAGCTTCACCACGCCTAGAAATTCCTCCAGTTTGTCATTTGAAAGGGCCCTTAGAATCGCTGAACCTGCGATAGCACCTGCGCATTGCGCCACAACGTACAAAACGCCCCTAATAATTGGTACCTGCGGTTAGGAATCAGAATCTCTTGTTAATTCAATTATAATTGAAAAAGGTTAAAAAATACTAGAGCAAGAAAAGAAACGAATAGATATCAATATTAATCGGATAAATTATATATATAAAATATAATTATATACATTATTATATATATATAATTTCTCCGATTATATATATATAATTCATATAATTAAATTATGTAAATTATGTAATTTGAATTAAGTTTTAAATTATATATTCAGAGCATTTAATTTTTTATTAATAGAATTATTATATAATATCTGTTTTGAATATCCGGATAAATTTTATAGAGGATGATCAATTTTCATTGCGAGATATCAAGTTTTTCGGATTCTTCTAGGATAGATTTCATTTGCGGAATAATAGATGATTCTCAGTTTACATATGATACACTTGCAGTGTATCAGATTGACGCGCTTTAATTAGTTACTTAAGTCATTGTGATGACTACTCAGGAACAGAGAGATTTTAGGTAGAACAAATGTTATTAAATCAATTTAATATTAAAGTTTAATAAAATTAATATTCAATAAAATATATTATTAAATATTCAATAAAAATACTATAATTTTTATTGAATATTAGTATAAAACACTACCTTCCCGATAACGACGAGACCGAGCGTGACCGCCGGATTGACATGACCTCCGGAGACGTGTCCTATCCCTTGAATTGCGCACGCTACCGTCAAACCGAAGGCCAAGCTGATGGCGGTAACATCTCCGGTCACCACGGCACCGCAACCGAAGAAGTTGAGTAATAAGGTGCCTAAAAATTCTGCCAGAAGAGCGCGAGGAAGACCGACCTTCTTATCCGTAAGCTCATCAGCACCCAAGGCGTTTTTCAGATTCACCATCTGAGATGTGTAAGTAAAAAATAAGGTAATTATGCAGTATAAGAGACCAATCTCCAATGACTTTGACCTTGACATATGTTGTCAAGGTCATGACCCCGAGTGACCTTGACAACATATGTCAAAGTCAAGGTCATTGGAGGATGGTCCCTTATACTGCATAATTACCAAAAATAAAATTAGGAACGAAGTTATAAAAAAAAACATTCGAGAGAATATAGAAAATAAAAATATTTATCTTTGAACAATAAAAAAATTTAATTTTAGTCTTATAAGAAAACCGTCAGAATTGTCCACTTACCAATTTTAATGAATTTTAGATATGTTGTAAATTGTAGAACATTAAAAAGTGTTAGATTCTTTTTATCTGCCTATCTCAAGATTTAGGGATCGGAACAACTTCTGAAGGTGAAGGTAAATAAAAAATATTTGACATTTTCGAAAAATATCAATACTCTGCCGTTATTAAAAGTATAAAATTTTTGTATAAAATATTGTTCATATATCTCATAGTTTCGGACATAATCGTTGAAAATGAAAAAAATCATTTTTTAGAAGCTTTTTTCTTGAAATAAACAGATAAAAAAATATGAGTCTAGTATTTTTCGATGCTTTACAACATATCTAAAGAACAATATAAAAAATGGTAAGTATTATTTCAGGGTTATACAATTGACGTAACATAGTTCTTATACCGTTATATATAAGCACATATTTTTTTTATTGAGATTTGGCACGTTTCCAAGAAACGAAAGACATTTAATTCGCAATCGTCATTACGTAATATGAATAAGCGAAAGCATTTTAAGAGTTTGAAATTTAGAATGGACTTCCTTTTTGAGCTTTAACACTTCTTTAGCAACGTTTAGCGGTTCCGTTGATTGACGGCGAGTGGATGTAGATCGAGGACGCAATGGTTTACGAGTGCGACAAAAGCTTCGACAGGCTGCATTACGTATGTAGATCGTCACATCCTCACCTCGAACGATCGGTTCGAATTACCTAATCGCGCCAAAGCTTGCTGATCGTCACCTACGTAGCGCGTAGGTGACCTTTTAATTAAAAACAGCTGCGTTTTTCTCTTCCAATCGAAGTTAAAAGTTCACATATTTAAACATCTCTATATGTATTCTATAATTTATTACTACAATTTTGTATCATTATTATTATCTATTACAATTTTTTTAAAATATCAATATCTTCTTTAGAACAAAGAATGTGAGAACTGGATTTGTTTTTAGTGTCTTACTTAAGTTTATTTCTCAGCTGTGATTTTTTTCGTGATTCATCATTATATTTCGTTCATCATACGATTTATTTCCCCGATAAATGCTTTAAGCAAACCGTCGTCAGGGACAACCGAGTTGCCTTCCAAAAATTCCATTTAGTACGCGGATTACGTAATTATATAGGCGTCATTACTAAAGTCGTGAGCCGAGATGATCTGATCTTACAGATGATGTCACAGTCCGAGATTGTTCTTCCTTCGCGTCCGCCCGACTCTGTCATAAAACTATTTGTCGCTTACACGGCCGATTTGCTAAATCGTACCGTTACGAAGTCCGATAGGTCCGAAAAGAACCGGATTTATTTGAAAATAAATTTTTCGTTTTCAAGTCTTTTTTAAGCTAAAATTTTCGAGAGTATCAATATATCGTCGTTCATCATATTTTCTAAAGTTTCGTGCGACTTTCTGTCGCTATTTGTGTATTTTATTCGTGTGGCATTATTAACTGAATTAATAAATTCCGCCACACCAGCAATTTGACCGGCTTGTAAAAGCAGTTTACATTCGCACGTTAATATAAAAGCGTGCGACAGTACGCTGGAATTCTGTGTTTGAATCAAATCATTATTTCTTATTGCGTTGATATTTATTTCTCCTTCCATTTATTTGGTTGCTATTATGCGATTGCGGAGTTTATGTTTTTGTAAATGTATTTATTTATACTGTGAATTTTAATCAAATGGAAAACGCAAGTCCATGTTGTTGTTGGCGCGAATTACGTACTAATACATTAAACGATTATTTTTTATTTGTGCCAGTAGTTCTCTGCACGGAAATTGTACTAATAAAAAAATGACTTAAAAATACAAACGATCACTCGAAAAAATTGTCTCGAAAATTCCACAAGATGAAAATCTAAATTTAGAGATATTATGAGATGTGCTATTAACTTATTTATTTAATATTGTGCATATAATTTATATTTAAAAATATAATTTTAACACTTTTGAAAATTCTGAATTTGTATGACTTTAATTCTTATTATATCTGCTTAATGTAATTATAACGTAATTATAATGTATTGTCATTTTTGTTAAGACTATATGAAAAGAACGATTTTTGCTAAAGTAGGTATAGATTTGAAAATAGTTTTGTTTAACCATCAAAATAATTATGTAGGCGTTCGAGATGATTGACAGAATGTCAAAACTTTTTACAATATTACTCATTATGCTTGAGCGTCTTACATGATTGTTTTGATGGGTCAACAAAATTATTTTCAGCTATATATCTGGTTAAATTTTTAATACTTTAACAAAATTCCATGTTATATAAGTGTTTTATGACTTGTGAGCGCTTCAAAATTCTTGAAAGAATATTTAAATTTTTTCATATATATAACAACAGTCTTAGGTTACATTTCGATATTTATTGCCAGTGCTGAAAATCTATAGTATACATTACGTACACTATAGATTTTCAGTATTGGCAGTGAATATCGGAACGCAGCCTCAGTATCAATTATTTTAATCATCTGTCAACAATCAAACGGTTGCTATAACAGAAACGGTGTAACATGAATGTGCTATAAATAGATAAATCTCGAAGGTTTCCAACCGTTCTTGTTCCATCGGTTTTTCTATTACGAGTTTTTGTTATTCTTTCATACCGCCTCTTTTGGCTTCCTTTTCACACGCTTCGCTACATTCGATGGCGAACAAAAAAGATCCTTTACCTTACGATTATCGATATTGCCTTCCACCTGGCGGTAATAAAAACTTCCCCCCGTTCTACCATCCACCTTGGATTCGTTCTTTTACGATTGCCGCCGACCGTTCCGCGAAAGCGAAGACCGGTTGATTCGGAAGCATAAATCACCCGTTAGATCCTCCAGTGATTTATCGGTGACCGTTAGAGAGATCGTTATCCCTATATGGTCTTGTCAGGATTTTTCCCCTTCACTCATTTTATTTTTCCGTTTATGTTTCTCAGTGGACACTATACGATTTCTTCTCGATCCCTTTAAAGGATCGATCGACGATTGACCATGTCCGACTGGTCATCCACTCGTTCCACTTTAAGCTGAAGCTATAATAGCCTTTTCATTGCATCGTTCATCGGCGAAGGCCTTAATTTGGCTTAAATTAAATTAATGGAATTTTATCTTGGAATTTAGGACTTTTTAAAAATTAAATTTGTATTAAAATCATTAAATACATCAGTTTTAATTTTTCTTCAGACAGATTTAAATTTAATTTTCAAATCATTCTTTCAGTACATATCAATTGTTACATAATTGCTACAAATTGTTTAAATAATTTATATAATTCATTTCCAGTCAGTTTTATATTTAATTTTTAAATCATTTTTCCGATTATTTATGTATATATATATATATATACACACACACACATAAAGTATTATATTTATATAATTTTATTACATAAATTTTTATTTATATCTCGATTTCTCATCCTTATTTACGAGATCAAAGTTTCAATTAAATTTTTATCGTATTTTTTTATTTAATCCTTAATTAAATCCAATTGTTTACACTTATTTCAAAAATATTCTAATTTACACAACAGTTGCGTAGTCAATCTATAGTGAATTATTTAATTAATAATTTATTTAATAAAATAAATTGCTTTTGCAAAAATAATATATAATTTATATAACGATTCACATTTTTCTACTAATATCAATTGATGATTTTTCCTTTCAAAATTGAAACCTGCGTGAGCATTCATTGATGGTGGAGATACTCAAAATAATGGAAAAACATGGTGCATGACTTTTGTGAAAACAACGATAAAATAGCACGATAAAATAGAGAAAATAGCTGAGACGTTCATATGAACGTCACGTATTTACCAGAAGAGACCATGATTGGCATACGTACGTTGCGTTAAATGCTAGTTTGATTCGAATTGCAAACGTTTCATTCTGCGTCTAACGTAACGCAATTTGTGCTTCGGACTTTCAAAGGCGGTCGAAATTATGATTTAGATATGCTTTTTTGATACGAAAAATTCGTCTTATATATTTATTATTATTTATATCAAAGCTTTTTCGGCAAATTATGTGCTGTTTTATATAATATGTATAATATGTTAAATATATAAGATAACACTAAAGTTAGATAAATTAAATAACACACGTTAAAGTTAGTCAGTATCTAAAAAAAGAGAAACTGACTCATTTAGCGTGTGTGAGTATGTATTCTTAATTTTAACAATCATATATCTAGTTTTTACTACATTTCTTTATTATACCTACTAAATACTATCTTTATCATTATACTATCTTTATTATATGCTACTAAAAACTTATGACTAAATTAAATAAATATACGATAAATAAAATAAATATTATAAATATAAATGTATAGTAAGGGGAATAAATAATAAACATAAATAAAGTTAAAAATGATGAATAAATGTCAACTCACCTCAAAATCTGGAACTAACACGTGTAATCGATTAATAAATTCTCCCTAGTTTTGTTAACAGTTTCCTAAGAGTCCTTTGACAAGTACTTGAAAGTGCGTAAAATGTTATTTGATAATTTCGTCGAGTCCTTTGAGATGCCTCCGAAGATTGTTTTATTTAAAAGAATTCTTTATTCTTTCTTTTATTAAAAAGAGTCCTTTAAAAGGAACCAGCGAAACTGAGATGACTCCTTGAGAGCGACCGAACGACAACTGTCGCAAGCTGGGCTCTCGGGCCGGTCGGGCCTCACGTAGATAGGTATCCGTACTAGTAATTCTACCGGCAGGCGAACAGCAAAGTAGTAGGGATATCACGGTTAAAAGTGGCGAGTGCATGAACACAAACAACGTAGACGAGTCCATGCGTGAAATGTGTATGTACATACACGTTTTGATAAATAAAGATTTATTGCGCGAGGACTTATACTTCCGGAAACGTGCCGATAAAATAACAGTCAATGATCTCGGCTTCAAGGTAAATTTCATATAAAATAAAAAATTCTTTTAAATTCTTTTAAGGAATGTTTTAAGCAAGATATTCGCGATTAAAAAGAAAACCTGGATTTTAAGAATTTAAATAGTTTCTGAGAAAAAAACTTTAAATTTTTATTTAAACAAAATTAATTTTGAATAAACAAAAAGTTAGAAGTGCATTTAAAAGAATGATTCACATAAATGTAAAAATTATTCCTGTAGTTATTTAAAAGATAAAATTTTTTTTATCTTTCGCGGTAAAACGATGACGTTGATAAAATTGTTATCTACGAAAATATTATGTTTGCAACGTTGATAAGATCATGAATGGAAACTTTATTTATTCAATTTTAGAAAAATTAAATAAATATCAAATCCTGAGTAAACGATCTCTCTCTCAAGAAAATTTTATTTAAAAACTTATCTGTTGTGAGAAGTATATCTTAATCTGGAATATATTTGTAAACTACTTACTTATAATATATTTGTGGAATATATTTGTAAACTACATACTTTTTTGAAATGTAAAATTGCTCGATTTCTTTGGAGAGACTACGTAATACAAAACAGCTTGTTTTTTTTTATTCAGGCATGTTTCCGATTCATCTCTTGACCTTTGCATCACAATCTTTTTTGTCGGTCCATTGTGAAATACGATCGTTTCAAGAAGTTAGAAAAGAAAGGAGCGAAACTCGTTTTAAAATGATTACATCGCCTGAAATATTTAAAAATCTGAACCAATAAAAAATTCAAAGTACCGTACAATATTTTAATATAACTAGATATTTTTGCATTGACGTAAACATAAATCAGTATATACATACGTAAATGTAAATGTTCAGATATTCTAAATGATTTTCAGCGGAGATGCGGAACGACACGGCGCAATTTTTGCGGTAGCAAATAGCCTTTTTGCCTTTAGCATTCTTTCGATCATACCTAAAACGTATAATCGGAAATGGTGTTTTCCCGGTAGGAAAAGGAAAGTACGGTTTCAACGGTACTTCCTTGCGATGCACGCGATGCATAACGAAGGGGGGATCACCTAAGCGTGACGACTACTCTGAAGACGATGATTTCATTGTAGGCTTAACCTATGATTAAATTCTATGATTTAATTTTTTTTTGTTAATTTTCCACTTATCTTTTTTTATATTGTCCCTTTGGGACTAATATTTTTCAATTGCTAAACGATTTATTTGTAAAAGTAACGAAGAAAAAAGTAGATAATTAGAAGGAGGTGATTAAATTATTATAGAAAATAATGTAATTCTTTAATAAAAATGTAAAAGAATTGCTTTAACATTTTTATTAACTATCAAAATTATGTTATTTTCCGGAAGAATAAGAAAAACAAATATAAAAATTTCTTACGTTAAGAAATATTATCAATATTTATAAAATATTAGTATCATTTTGCGCAGTATTCTTCTTTTGTCTTATTAAACTAATTGCGCGAGTAAGCCAAGTACCATTAAGACAATTGGTGTATAATTGATGGCACTCAGAAAACGCGGGGGCGGTGATAAATGTCATGCGACGCAAGAAAATGTTAAGTAGCCATTCTCTTGATTGATTTGTGTAATCCGAAATGCGATTCATCTCGCACACAATCATCCATATTTTCATTATGCTGAATCTCGCGCTCGCACAAGTTTGAATAGCTGATAGATATAAAATTTATGGTACTCGTTTAATATCTGCAAAATTTTTTATAAAATTGGCTGTAATTTTGTTTTGAATATCTGAACACTTTGAATTCAGTTATGAATAATAAAAATTAAACACACGTATAATTTGTAAACGTATCAAAAGATTTTATCTGCAGTATCCGTTCGCACGATGATTGTAATTGCGACAATGATGCGGAATTAACACGCTGTATTTCATTCGCCATTGTTTCTAACCATGGTATTCTAGTGAGACGCAAAATTACCACGAATAAGCCAATTAACCATCGGAGGAATTAAATAGCGTCGGCTTCGAACAAAGCGTTCCTTCAAGCTTCGTATTATTTCGTCTAAAGCAGGGGGGAGGAGAGAGAGAGAGAGAGAGAGAGAGAGAGAGAGATAGAGAGAGCACAATTGTGCAACATGGAATAGCAACGTGCTTGGGGCTGCATAATGCAAACATGACGGTGCATATGTCGCGTAAGAGAGTCGTATTGTTAGAATTTGTTGTCATTGCCGCGCAGCTGAGTTCTTGGCCGTGTTGTCATCTGGGCGCTGAATCAAGGTTTATGCAGCTCAACTGCAAGTGTGCATATTTATTATGTATTATAACGCTGTGGCAAGCGAGACTGACAAGAGAGAAAACCACGAGAAACTCGAGAACTTTTGTTAGGGATAATAAAAAGTATCTATAAAGTAAGTAAAAGTAAAGTACTTACAAAAAGTAACTACAAAAGAGAAATATTAAAATAATAGGAAAAGATTTTCTTAAGAATTAGTCAACAAAGATAGAATAAATTTACTATAAAAAATACTCAATAAAGTTTAAGAAAATAAACTTAGTAATTTTTCCGTTAATTAATTCTATGAAATAATATCTATCTGTTGCGAATCTGCATATTTGTTTGTTGAAAATGATATATTTGAAATATATAAGAATTGAATAGACAAAATAATAACGCGAGGTCGGTGACACAGACACAATTCTGATTTGTTCGCCAAAAGCAGATGAATCATCTTGTGTTTCTCGAGTACATTCCGCGAAGCTGTACGACAAGATCGTCATCGTCATCGCCGAGTCATTACCGCTTTTTTTCACGTGATGGTTGCTGTCAACTACCTCATCGTTTTGTCCTTCCATCGACTAAGAATGTGTGTGAGATACGTGTCAACGTTTTGTATACTAACGAATTTAAGAACGAGTTGTTAGATTTTAACTGTATTTTAACTGTTTTATAACAAATATAGATAAATATCTATAAAAGTAATAAAAGAGAACCAATTTAATTTAACATCAATAATATTAAAATTAAGTAAATCATTAAACAATATTAATTATCATTAATATTATCATTAATATTAAAATGTTAAATCAGATCAATAATTTAAAAATTAGGTATTAATGACACATATCATAATATAATATTAGAAGAATTAACTGTAGAGTTTCAAGCAGCAAGGTGACGTTTTAATAACGTTTTATTGATGTCATTAAAATGTTATTAAGACGTCACACTTGACGTCACTTTGCTACTTAGGATAGTGGCATTTAAAATCGTAGCTAAACTATGTGGGTGGGTTATTACTCTTTATTGTTGATCGTTTTTATATCCATAAACTTACCATCAATGGACCTCGCACGTGAACGAGCAATCCTTTTTTTCATTCTCTGTCCGATCTTGTCGCAGCGCTCTAGACTCAATCCAAAGTCATTAACTGAACCATCAAGCACCGAAATTAAGATGACCAGTTTGACCTAAAATCGACGGATAACGTACATATATTACTACATGTAACTTGCAAGTACAAATACAAACACATAAATTTGATTGTGTCGCGTTTTAAGTCAAAATGACGGACAGATTGTGATACTAACTCGACCGAAAAAGTCGCCTTGATCGTAATAAAACCACGATCGATATTTTCTTGCATATGAATCGAGATCCGGATGTCATCGCATCTATTTATCATCTATAAAGTTTCACGATAAGGAATATTTGTAACGTTTATCATATTAAATTTTCTATACACATTTATCATATATTTTCTATATTCTTGTCGTAATTAATAGTTATTACTGTTATTTTATTTAATTCTCTTAATTTTTCATTTTTTCCTCGTTTTATATCTGCTTCTTAATTTATAAATTCTACGATTTCATTAAATTGCGATGTAATTTCTGATTTAGATAGATATCAGGTACAGATGGAAGTTTATATGACCCAAAACAGTTTCGTCAGACACTGTTTTATGTTGGATTTTAAGGAGACAGCTTGAGGGAAACCAGGCATCTGAACACGTGTCAATCTTCGTTTTATCTCAAAGAACTAGGCGTGCGTGAGATTGAAAGATCGACCTGCATTATTCTATCTAGATTGCTGCAACATGAGAAGTCGTAAATATCCCAGAAATAAATTCGCGCGCCAATTAGAGCGACAAAGAGATATTTGCCTTTCAAATAAACTTGCGTATTTCGTCATAACGTTTGAAGATGACAGATGGACTCTTATGTCTGAAAAGGCACCCAGCGGTATTAGAGTTCGACGTAAATATCTCTTTAGGCGAATGATTAAAAATTTTTTGTGATAGAGGTAAGACATAGCGTTTTTCGCAGATTGGCATGTACAATTATGCGACTTCCGCGAGCTTTCCTGCGGCGCGTCGCAAACCAATCGTTATGGGTGCAAGAAACTGCAGGTATGACGTATTCCATGTTCATCGCGACCATCGGTTGACCTCACGTATGCTAATTGTCGCGGTTTTATCTGCACGCGAACTCACCATATTGCCATAATGCTGATCAACGGCTACGAAATAGAACATCAGGAAGAACTGCGAGGAGGACTTGATATAAATTTTGATAACTAAATCCTTCGTCTGATCTTAATCGCAAATTTTGAAAATGATACAGCTAAGATATTTTTACAAAGACATCTTGCAACATTGAAAATTAGTTTGTTAATTAATTCTCACTTTTAACGATTAGAATAGTATGGACAGCTTTGAAGAAGGATGACGTAATTATGTGTTACGCGTAAAGATAAATTAAATTAATTTAATTTAAAGGAGTTCATCAATTAATGAAGGATTGAAACAATCTCTATAAA